GCGGGGGGGGGGGGCTCAGACTGTGAAGGGATTGACTCATTCATCACCCAGTTAAAATAATAGTGTCCAAATCTTCCAAGCTCACTCTCAGGAGGGATTAGCCAGGTGGCTGGGGGTCCAATAGCTGGGCTTCCTCTCAGCCTCCAATTGGCCGCACTAAACTCCAATCCTCAGACAGTGAGGCAGGCTCTGGCTGACTCAATGGCAGTGGGTGCTGCCTTGAGCTAATTGGGAAGACATTTCATTGCCCAATGAAACTAACTCCTTCCACGAAGGGGAGGGGAGTGGAAAGAGGCTCCCTCTTGGCCAGCCAGCACTCTTACCCTGACTGGTGCCTCTTACCCATACCTCCTCCCTCTGCTGCCTCCTAGTCATCCATTGTGAGGGATAGGAAAACAGTGCCAACACAGAGGCCCTTCTCACTTTTTGCTCCCAGGAACATTCACCATGAGTCCCCTGTGGCTACTCACCTTGCTGCTCGCCCTGAGCCAGGCCCTGCCCTTTGAACAAAAGGGCTTCTGGGACTTCACTTTGGATGATGGGCTGCTCATGATGCATGATGAGGAGGCTTCAGGCTCAGACACCACCTCAGGTGTCCCCGACCTGGATTCTCTCACACCTACCTTCAGTGCCATGTGTCCTTTCGGCTGCCACTGCCACCTGAGGGTTGTTCAGTGCTCTGACTTGGGTGAGTTACTAGGAAGTTTAAAGTGAGGGTGTCTAAAGAGGCATAGGTCCTGCCTAGGAGCCCCTACTAAAGGAGATACATGGGCTATCATCCTGTGAGATGGGTATAGAATGGTAGGGGTGGGAATGTATGAGTCACCACAGGCTAAAGTGTTATGGTATGAATGTTTGAGGGTGTCCAGTGTCTGGCATGTAAAAAGCAAATAGAATGGGCAAGCTGTGAAGCTGGCATCCATTATCTCAGAGTCCCTACATTTGTACTAGTGTCTGTATGTGTCCTTATGCATGTGTATGCCCACCCCTTTACACCTACTGACAACACACTGGATGAGTACTTATGCTGGTGATGGTGCTGGTTCCCAGGTCTAAAGACTGTGCCCAAGGAGATCTCACCTGACACCACACTGCTAGACCTGCAGAACAATGATATCTCTGAGCTCCGAAAGGATGACTTCAAAGGCCTCCAGCATCTTTATGTAAGCGTCCTCCTGCCCCCTGTCCTTTATGAGGAGCTGGGAAGAGTTTGATGTTCCTCTGGCTGGGAGGAGGGTTGTTTACAAATGGGGCTGGAAAGGAGAGCTGGAAACAATGTAGCTGAGATAAGTCTGGAGCTGGCTGGATGAATTGTGTGTAGGGGTGCAAGACAAAATCCCTCAGGCCTTTTCCCTTTTTGACCTAAATCTTTGCATTTTATTGGCTCCTCTGAGCAACACAAAAAGAATAGATTCCATTGTAGTTTCTTGGAGAAACTGACTAGCAGGTTGTGCTAGGCAGTAATTGGAATTCCCAGGACAGCTTGGAGCTAATCTGAGTTCCTTGCCATGCACTCCACTCACAAACCTCTATGAGACCGAACAGGTTCAGATGTCTCTCAAGTACCATCAGTAGTAAGTTCAGGAGGCAGAGGAAAAGGAGAGGTGGAGTCAGGAGCTGGAATGCTTACTTTGGTCCCCTGCCTTTCCTCAGGCCTTGGTCCTTGTAAACAATAAGATCTCCAAGATTCATGAGAAGGCCTTTAGCCCTCTACGGAAGCTGCAGAAACTCTACATTTCCAAGAACCACCTGGTGGAGATTCCTCCCAACCTGCCCAGCTCCCTGGTAGAGCTACGAATCCATGACAACCGTATCCGAAAAGTGCCCAAGGGTGTATTCAGCGGACTCCGAAACATGAATTGCATTGGTGAGAGTAGTCTGTACCAGGGCAGCTGGGTACTGGACTGTCCTGTGCAGTCGTGGAGAAGCCCTGTGTGTCTCAGAATGTTCCGGAAGTTTGTTTCAGGACACGATGAAGGAGAGCTGGGTGGCTTTAAAGGCTCAGTTCAAGAAATCGTCTCAAAAATAGTCTAAAAGAATACCACTATGTTTCTTGACAAAAATCCCAATTTGAGTAATCATTATGGGCAAAGAGAGGGTATAGGACACAGGAAGACTGGGCTGGTAGAGAGAATGAAGAAGGGCAGTGGACCACCACAGCAGTAGGAGTTGGATGGCTTTCTGGAAGCCCTGACGTTATCTCTGAATCTCCACACTTTCCTCTTACTTCCCAGCTCCCAGAGGCCAAGAACAGTGCTAGAGCCCTTGAGCTAGTAGTCATCTTGAACAGCTGAAGTTTTCAGTTAGTTAGCTGGACTCATTCTTAAACTGATTTCTAGAGGAGGTGGAAAGAGCCAGAAATCAGCGGATCCCCAGTCCAGAAAAGAACAGGCTCCAATGATGTGTGGGATGCCACTGATTGGCTCTAGGCTGACAGGACTTCTCTCCTAGAGATGGGTGGTAATCCCCTGGAGAACAGCGGCTTTGAACCAGGAGCCTTTGATGGCCTGAAACTCAACTACCTGCGCATCTCAGAAGCCAAGCTCACTGGCATCCCCAAAGGTAGGAAAGTGTCAATACCCGACCTCCAGGAGCATTGAAAGGGGTTTGCCCAGTGTACTTGATCAGGGCCCTCCTCCTGGAGCAGAGAGTGGGCCTTCTACCTGCTCCAGACCCTGCACTTACCTGCCAGCATGCTCTCTTCTGAGTAGATCTCCCTGAGACCCTGAATGAACTTCACCTGGACCACAACAAAATCCAGGCGATTGAGTTGGAGGACCTACTTCGCTACTCTAAGCTGTACAGGTGATGCTGGGGCAGTCCTGGGAGGCTGCAGGGCTCCATCACCAAATGAGGCAGGTCATAGGGTAGCACTCATATCCTCCCCTCCAGCCTCTGAAGACTTCTAATTTACTTATCTTCAGGCTTGGCTTAGGCCACAACCAGATCCGGATGATTGAGAATGGGAGCCTGAGTTTTCTGCCTACCCTACGAGAACTCCACTTGGACAACAACAAGCTGTCCCGGGTGCCTGCTGGCCTCCCAGACCTCAAGCTCCTCCAGGTGAGAGCTGGCTCTCCAAGAATGGG